GATCCAGGTTCCAGTCACTCAGCTCCCAATTCCTTCTGCAAACACATAACAGTCTTCTTGATAACAGTCATGACCCATTTCTATTACTTTCCCTCAGATGTGATTTGTGAAAATGTTAGTCGTTTTGTTTGCTCTTCTTTCAACAGTAAGATCCTTCATATCCATCTCAACACACAGAGACTCAAATAATGAAAAACACTCTAATGGTGGCATGCAGATAGAAAGGAATAGTCCCTCCAACCTTCCTAAGTAGCAGTGAAACAGCTTCTCTAAAGGCACTATGTCAGTCAATAATGACTTGGCAGAGGGCGGGACCAGAGGCAAGCAGCCTTTTGCACCCTTCCTGAGCAGATCTGATGAGAGCATAACATAGAGCAGGAGCCGCGACAAAGAAAAGGAGAAGAGGAAAAGGAAATACTGCAGATTTAGAATTGATGGCACGTGGCAACTGACTGACCGGACACCTAAGTGAGGGAAGAGGAAAACTGAAAATAACTCCCAAGACTGCTGTCCTGAGTTTCTGACTTGGTTGATGCCAACAGGTCAAATTGGGAATGCAGAAGAAAAAGTAGGCTCCGGAGAGAGGATGCACTGCGCCAGCGAACGTGCCAGTGACTGGTTCGCTTGAGCCCACAGCACCCTGGCCCACGCAGCGGAGTGCTGTCGGGCCCCGGCCTCGGCCGAGTGTGACCCCGGAAGCCACGCGGGCTCTGTATCCAGCAGGACCCACTGGGTGGATGGAGAAAGCCCCTCCTCTAACAAGGCCATGGCCGCTACAGGGACCATGTACACTTGCTGTTTTGTTTCGTCCTGCCGGGTATTGTGTGTACGGTGCTTCATGTTTCGTTGTATTGGAAACTTTCCATTTTATTCAAGAAATCAGTTCCGTGTTAAAAAGCCTTAATTAAAGAGGAGGTTTCATGAAAAAAAAAATTTTTTTTGTGGAGACACCCAGCAGGAAGACACCCAGCAGGAAGAGGCGAATTTAATAACTTAATAGAATTCTATGACATAAAGGCTAAAATATATCCACATCTTCACGAGCTTCTAACATGCTTGGTTTGAGAATCAAGTCAAAAGCCACACTAGCAAATTATATACAACATCATACTTTGAAAACACAGGTGAGAAAAACATAGATGTCAAATCTCATGAGCATTAACTACATTAATGCAATAAACATCTACAAATGTCTGTGTAAGTCCAAGAATGAGTGAGGACTTTCACGTTGGTCTGGGCATTTTACTGGCTCAACTGTATTACAAGAGAAAAAGAACACAATAGAAAAAATAGATATAACAGTTGAAACACCAATTCCTTGGTATGTTCTTCAGTGACCTGCTATGCTGAGCAAGGTAGCTGAATTCCGCAATTTTCAGGAAAAGGTATTTGCTCATTTTAATACCTTTAATTTGACTATTTTTCAAATAATTAAAAAGCATTAAACCATCTTCCATTGTTCTAGACAAAGAAAGAAACAGAAGTTCATTGTATTTTATTAAAGGAGTAGTAGTGAAGCAGTTAAAGAGGCTTCTGTAACAAAACTTTTTTTGAATTCATTTAATAAGGATGAATTATTTAATAATAACCGCCCATCATCACCAAATAATATATTCTGACGAATGTTTTTCCCTCCAAATTTCTTAGGAATACTGTTAATGCTCCAAATGCCAACTCAGGCACATAAAACAAAGAAAATTAAAACTTACTGCAAAGTTTTAAAAATGTTGATACCTATCGAAGAAGAGCACAGAATTTTCTGAAACATGAAACAGCACCATATTTTAGAAAAAAGCTTTGTTACAGTTTTACAAACTGCTATTGCTTTGAGTCAGTCACAAATGTTTTGCATCATTCAAAAAGGATTTGACTTAGTTAAAGCAAAAAGAACTAGGGACAGTAAGATGACACAGGCCGAAATCATACTTATGTTGCTCTGATGTAGCAAATGGAAATCCTTTAATGAAAATAAAAAGTTAGAAAGGGCCTGTGTCAAAAATAGCTCATCACTATAGCAATGCCCAAAAAACTTGTTCTGAAAGGGAAGTCAAGACACAGGGCTTCTAGAAAAGATTACATCCTGACCAGGAGGTGAGAACAGTTAGGATAAACTCTCCAAGTAGTTTTCTAGACGTTTAATAGACATGCATAAAGTGGATCCAAATCAAAACATTATGCACAGAGTTGACAGTATCACCCAGTTGAAGATGTGACCAACAGAAAGGAGGCCAAACCAAAGAGCTCTTTTCACGGAAGACTCAAACTTCTTTTTCAAACAGGGACAGTCCTGTGAGAGTCACATGTGCCCTCTAAAACCCGGAACCGCGGATCCAGATCTGACAGCCCAGAGAAGGGCTGGAGTAGAAGGATGGGGCCACGGGTTGAGACTGAGACTGGCCCTTGTGTGAATTGAGGGCACATGGCAACTACGCGCCTTGGAGAAGCTCTGAGCAAGAACCCTGGCTGGATCAAACTGCACAAGACCCGGGCAGCCCAGAACATCTCCAAGGCAACCACCACATCACAGAACTGTATCTATCTCACTGCCTAGAACCTTGTCCTGAACTGACAGGATGAAGGTTTTACCCAGGGCAGCGACAGCCTCATCGAGGGTAAGAAATGAGCCTGGTGACCAGGAACTCTACCCCCAGAGAAGAAGTGGATCTGTTTCTCCCCTGGTTTAAGGAGCCAGCTTAGGTCCAGCACACCCCCCCACCCCTCAGCCCATCCCACCCCCAGCATCATGTGATGATCCCTTCTGCATTGGGCCTCCCAGCCCTTCTTGGATGAACAAAGCCTGACCAATTTGCAGGGGAGAGGTTGGCCAGAGGTGTTGGGACAGTGTGATTTCTGAGTGATTTCCTACAGTGTTGGTTACTCCTTCCAGGTTGGGAGGCAATAACCACCACCCGAGGAATTCTCAATAAAGTTTTATTAGTTAAGCTGAAGAAAGAAAATACAACCTGGAATCCAAAAGCAAGATTCTGGATTTTCATCCAGTTGATTTTCTCACTGTTGATTTTCAAAATCAACAACTCACACACCCATCCTATGATAGTGGATACTCATTTAGCATCAGCTAAATGGGCATACAATGACCAAAAAGCTTCTGTGAATTTGACAACTGTATTAATGAAATCACACTTCACTGAATAAGATCACTTCTACATCAACTTGGAAAAGAGCAATACATATGTGAGTCATATATTATTAATTAAACCTACAGTCAATGCTGGGTTTGCAGAACCTTAAATCACCCAGCACATATTTGCAATTTCGAAATCACTGGTGAAGCTTATCTCAGAGGTTTTCTTAAAAAGCAGAGATGATATAAAGTAAGATGCTAAAATAATATTCCCATTGTGCATCTTACATAATATTTGTTTATCTTTCACGCCCAAGTTTCTCAAATTAGCTCCAAGGCAAAGACTAGCCCATTTATCTTAAAATCGGACCAGTCACATAATTTTTTTTGAATGAATACTTCAAAAAATGATAAATAAATGAATGGGTTATAACACAAGAAGTCATAAAATAGATTTAATGGATGCTAACTATTAAGAAGAAAAATGTTTCTGAATTTTTATCATCTTAGTCAATGAAAAACAAGCATCAATATTTCTACATACAGCTGGTTTTATGTTAGACTTTTTGCACCATCGTTTAATATACATTTTGTTTTCTGTAAAATTAGATGCAGAATTAAAACACAATGAAGTCTTCTTTCTAATTCTATTGACAGCTGTTCCTTTCTAAAATAAATATTCAATGTGGAAAAATATAACTAAAGTCCTATTTTAATTTGATTATACAAGTAAAAAGTATTCTGTCTAAAGAAAAACAGGAAATATTGATTAACCAGCATGCCTTTATACTTACATTTTGTCATATCCAGTTAGCCGATAGATAACATTTTTTTAACCTTCAAACACCTTCTTTTTAAAAACTTTATTTATTTGTTTGTTTCTTTGTTTGTTTGCTTGTTTTGAAAGAGAGGGAGAGAGAGATCCCCTAGCAGACTCTGCGCTGTCAGCGCACAAACTGTAAGATCACGACCTGAGCCCAAATCAAGAGTCAGATGCTTAACTGACTGAGCCCCCTCCCCCCGCCCCCGCCGGCATCTCTAGCCTTCAAACACCTTCTAGAATGATTTCTAGATGTATTACTTCCAACTGCCACAACCTAAAAGAATGAGCTGCCTCAACAATATGCTCTCTTTAAATCTGTACCTCACTTCATACCACAGTGCAAATAGATAAAAAGGTCCCCAATGGATCAATCTCCATAACTGGCAAAAGTTATTGAAAAGTCCTAAGGAAAACTGAAAGTAGCTGAAACAACTTAGTAAGGTTGGGCAAATTCTTCTAAATCTCCTTCGGTTTTGGCAAAGGTCGAACCTGAGAGACCATGTACTCAGAATAGACTTATTGGGCTCAACAAGAAAGTCAGCTAGAGCACTCAACTATATTTACAACAAAGCAGTATCAGAAACGTTCTTTACTGTGAATAAACAATGACCTCATTCAAAGCAGTCACAAAAAGATCCTGGAGAACTGAGGCAATTATGGCTAAAGGAGTGAATTTTTTAAGAGGAAAGCTTTACAGTGAGTTGGAAAAATATAATTAAAGATCATGTCACTGAAGACTGAAATTGTATTGATGGCACTCGATAACTGACATGAGATGCAACAACTAAAAACTGTACTTTAAAACACTTGCACCGAAAAACTCACTTAATGGTGCCTACTGACACAAGTTATTCATTTATACTATAGAAGTAAAGAGCCACTAAAAGTAATCCAAAGAGATGACATACTGACTTTAATCTTGGGGTGGGAACGACTCTAACTCCAGTGGAGGTACGTGTGGTGTACGTTACACAGCACCTGGAGGGCTCTAACTGGTCTCTCTCTGCTTTATTGAATCACTCCATTGTTGAAATAAAAAATCCAGGAGAGAGGCCAGCACCAAAACCAAGACACACAAAAAGCTTTCGATTACAAATATCACAGTGCACTCGGCTAGGGGTCACAGATGACCGCGGGTAACTGTTTCTCTGAAAACGAACAAGGAAAGAGGACTTGATAAACACGGTTGGTTATTCACATGTAAAAATAATTTTGGAGGGGTGCCTGGGTGGCTCAGTTGGTTGGGCGTTCGACGTCAGCTCAGGTCATGATCTCACGGCTTGTGGGTTCGAGCCCCATATCAGCTCTGTGCTAACAGCTCAGAACCTGGAGCCTGCTTCATGGATTCTGTCTCCCTCTCTCTCTGCCCCTCCCCTGCTCATTCTCTCTCTCTCTCTCTCTCTCTCTCTCTCTCTCTCTCTCTCTCTGTCTCTCTCTCTCTCAAAAGTAAGTAAAAATTAAAAAAAATTTTTTTAATAAAAAATTAATTTTGGCATTGCAAGGTCAGGAAGATCTTAAAGTCTGCTCTTTACCTGAGGATATGTGGACTCTTATTTCTTGTCCAATTTAATCAAAGATGATAGATTATCTACAAACCAACAATTCTGAACTAGTAGTAGAAAGAAGGAAGTGAGAAGCCAGTAGCTCAACAGCAGCTGATGTCCCCACCACCCAGAATCTGCAGCAGAGAATCCCTAGGATTCAAGCCAACTATCACCCAGGCAGATGTCCATCTTTCCTCTCTGGAAAGTATCTTCTTAGACAATGAGCATATTAAGGAAAACTTTTAATAGAAGAGAGAAAAATAAGTGCTCCATATCATGCTCCACATTCTGATGTTATTAAATAGTAGAGTCCAGAAGGTCATATGCAATACAAGGGGTCATCAGGTCATCTGCTTTTATAAAATGATATTTGAAACATTTAATAGAAATAATACTTAATTTTAATGATACTCAAGCTGAGAATTCTACAGTTTTCTTTAATAGCTTGTTTTGGTGTTTAATAACCCCTTAATTCAGAAATGATACTCTTCTCTGTTTCTGCAAATCAAGACCATTTTCTCCACTTCATTTTTGAAAAGAAAAAGTATAGTATGGGCCAATATAATAATCTTTCATATGCTTGAAGGAGTTAATCATCTTGCCTAATTTTATAAGGACAAAATAGTCTCAAGTGTTTTTAATTTTACTCTTAGGACCGATTTTCTATTCTTTTCATTCTCGCTCTTTACCAAATCCACTCAAATTTTGCTACATCCTTTTAAAACAAATCTATTCCACTAACAAAAACTGGAACAAACTCTATCAAGCCCAAACAATGGAAAGGATTGCTAACAACAACTTATTTACTGCACACCCTTTATAGTTTTCAAGCCATTTTCATATCTATCTTCTTTTAGACTCACGAGAACCTTTCACATTAAAAACAGAAAATGGACATTATGTTACTGATATTGTATATGTATACTGCAGGAGCAAAATGCTCACATTTGTTTCTCTAAGCTTCAATGACTTACATACCACTGAAGAGACAGAAGGGAAAAGAGCACACGTGCCGATGTAGAGCAAAAATTTAGGTGCAAGAGAAGGAATTCACTTCGGGTGGCCTCAGTGTCTTCAGTACACAGAAGATGAGAACGTGGATACGGTATGGGTTTCAGGACTTGGGGAGAGAGGAAGCAGTTTAGAGTAGCCCCTGGGGGACAGTGACTAGAAATTAACTCCAAACAACTAAAAAAGCAGGAACTGCCTCATTTCCCCCTCCGTTAGCCTAAGGCTTCTTCTGATGTGTCTCCTTGTCAAATTGTGAAGAGCTTCCAATGTGTTACTTTTCTTCTGAGATAGGCGGAATATCAATGTTGGCCAAGCTAAAGAGAGATCCACTAACTCTTACCTCTGAGTTACTTCAAAGCCTAAGAAAATTACTGAACAATAGGCTTAGAGGTATTCGTGGACAGAACTTCGGGGAATCTTTTAGACAAAAATTAGAATTAGGAGTAGAAAACAAACAGCTTGGGGCAGCCTGTGCCAGGTAGAAAGTTACGTCCATGTTTAGAAAGGATGTGTTAATAGTTTATTACTAGAGGAGTACCTTACTTTAAGTTTTTCATTCATTGTGCTGTATGTTACATACTGCTGTCCAAAGTATTTTAATTGTATACGAAGCACAAGCAACAGTATTTATTTAGTGGTGGGTGTCTGTTTTTTCTCAGCAGTTATTCAAGGCAGAAGGAAGTCTTACCACTCTGCTGGTATTATCCTAATGAGGCGCCACTGATTACCTCACAGCGTACACATACCTCCAGTGAAAGAGAACCCAAGGGGAATTTAAACCTCTCTAGAATTCAATTTGAAATCTCATTCCCTTAAATGATGGAAATACCACAAAGGAATACAATAATACAGTTTTAAAGAAAGTAGAGAAAAAAAAAGACTTAATTTAGCAGTCCCAAATTTTACACATGTTACTGTGGCCACACAGTAGCAGAATTTCCCTGTCTCTAGCTAGAAGGGAAAAACATTTTAAAAACATGGTTCTAAGTTAGTAAAACTGATAGCAAATGGAATACCTAAAATATTTCTTCATAGAACATTTTTCAGCAAGCATATACTTTTACACGTATTGGAAAGACAGTAACTCCGAAATGAGAGTTCTCGCTAAAAGCCCATAACTCGAATTTATTTCAACATGTGGATGATGCAAAAAGCACCGTATTTTGGCGGCCTGATAGCTTTCTCTTCCTCTTGATCATGAAAATAACATTAGACAATCTACTGACCAAATTCACCATCAATAGGAAGTTTTACTTCATATCAAGCACACCGTAAGGTTCCCATTACTGTGTACCTGTGAAGAACAGGTATGTTGTACAGGCACAGATATTTAGAGATTATACAACAAAGAATCCTGACACACTGCCAATGATCTAAAACTTAAATGAATCACAGTATATGGTTTATGCCCTCTGCCTGTCCTAATGAAGCCTCTAAGTTTCAAAAAGTAGTAGCATGAACAGGAATTTCAGGGTTTTAAGCCAAAATTTCAGAAAGAGACCCATGTCATTGTCATAATGTGTTTGTATTACATATTCCCTAAGCACTTTTCTTCCTTCTCCACTCCTAATTCTGTATCTCCTGAAAAAGTCAACACTTACAGTATAATGCTAAAGCTAAATGCTTAGGCATAGGTATATTTCATGTACATACATTTCACGTACAATGAGGCTGGAAGGCTACCAGCCTTCCCTGACAGCCACGGAATACTGTCTCCCCCAGGCTCTGTCACACACAGGCCTGGACATAGAGACAGTCAGGCCAAGATGGATATGAAGACCTTCTCCTCATCTGTAAGTTGAAGGCCTAGAGTCTTCTGTTCCCAAGCATGAACTATAGGACTTGCCTCATATTTTGCCCTCTAACAATATAAAGGTCCTATGTAAGAGTTATAATTTACATTTGCAACACCCAGTAAGTGGTCAGTCTCTCAAACTGGCTCTCCAGCCCAGGTCCTGCAATTGTCACTAAAAGCAGTTTCAAGCAATATGAATTTTAAAATTATTATAGTAACGAAAACATAATATGTAATAACAAACTGTAATTAAAATTTTTTATAGGTCACTTCAGAATGGCTTAGTGCTCCTTAAAGACAAGTCAATTATCCCCATTAAACTAAAGTGGGAGATTCCTAGTTACAAGAAATTGCAAATAAAAGAACACGCAATGAACTACAGGCTTTTGTGATAGGAATATTATCAAGTATACCTTCAGATACTTGGATGACAATTGGAGAAATGCAAATATTTCAGGGAGGCTATAAAAGAAGAGCACAAAAACTCATAAGAAACGAAAATGTATCATTCTTCTCAAATTTGCCAAATAATCCTGCGTTTGAATTGTTAAAATGAAATATAACTACAAATGAAATAAAACTGAGCTCTCTGGAAGACTTTAAATTCTGCCAGTGCAAGTTTCCAAAAACGTGGTTAAAATCTATTTTCTCCTGAGATTAAGAACGGAAAGGCTTTTCCTCCTATTTTTCTGCATGACAGAGTCTTTGCAGATTATAAACAGACACAGAGGCTCACTCCTAAAAACCTTGGAGGAGACATCAGCATTTGGAGAATCATGTACTAATGTATGTCATGACCTCATATGCAGCTGGCCGATTCTCCATGCTCATTACTACCAAGATGACTTCAGTCATGCTTCTTCCTCATGTTCCCATTCCCAGGAGTTCACATTCTTCATTCAATCCCAGCATTTCCCAAACTGCACTCCGCAAAGCATTACAGACCCAAGAGACATTAAATGGATATTTCTGTCAAATAAGTTCGGAAAATATTTCATGGGATATCTCCTCTCAGAAATCACAAAACGTAGTTTCTGGCAGAACAGGAGGGTCCTTGAGAGACAAGCTGAAGAGGAAGATTTTATTCTGTAGACAATGCAAGAAGCGTAGAAAAGGTTAAGCATGGGGGCAGATGATTAATCGGTTTCAAGGAGAAGATAGAGGAGGCTGGAAAGATGGTACTGGGGAGAAGAGTGAGAGATCATCAAAATAATTATGACGGATGTGCCAGGATTGAGAGAGTATCTGTAGAAATAGAGGTGAGAGCACATTAAATAACTCGTGCAGAGAACGGAAAGTGCCTGATAAAAACCGGACGTAGCATGAGAAAAAGGGTATAAGGAACAATGGCCTAAGTTCTCTGTTGTCACTATTTTCTCAGCGAAACAGAAAACAGGATAATCTGAGTGAGGGGCAGGTGAAAATTTAAAGAAGTGTGAGGAAATGATGAAGGTCAAGTTTTGGGTCAACTCCCGTGGGCAACAGGAGAGGAAGCTGACCACCTGTAAGTACAATGGCCAATTAATGCCATCATTCATGGAGCTGACCCTGGTCCCCCCCAGCCAGGGCTAGCTTTTCCTCCCCTAAGTCCCCATGATGCTTTGGTCCACAGTAGTACCTCCCTTGTGATAACTTTAAAATCTCCTATCATCCTCCTCCTCCCACTCCTCCTCCTCCTCATCATTATATTATACATACACCTTTCTTACTTTTTTTTACTTGGTTGTAACTACTTGGGGGTGGGGGAGAGGGAGGTTATTAGGCCTTATTTTGCCTGCATCACCTTGCATAAACCATGACACTTGGTGGGCATTTAAAAAAATCACTGCTAAACTGAAGATATGAATATGCGTATCATTAAATATTTGAAACCTAGCTTTAACATTCACCTTTCCTGTTCTTGATCCTGCATAGGTAAAGTATTTTCCCCAGCTTGCGTATTTCAATATTTTCTCTTTGCCTTTCGTTTTCAGCAGTTTAAGTATGGTGTATGAGTTGTTGGTCTCTGTTTTTAGTTTACGTATTTGTTTCTGGTATTTATGCTACCTGCTATTACCTGAGCCTCCTGTGTCTGCAGTTTTCATCAATTAATTAATTTTGGAATGCCATTAATTTTGAAAAGTCTTGGCCATTACATTCAAATATCTTTTCTGTTCTTTTCTCTCTTTATCCTCCTCCTGGTATTCCAGTGGTAGGTATGTAAAACCTTTAAAAGTTGTTCCATAGTTCTTCAATGCTGTTTTGTTTTGTTTTGTTTTGTTTTGTTTTGTTTTGTTTGCTTTTTGCCTTTCTTTGGGTTTCAGTTTAGGAAGTCTCTACTGACCGATTTCAAACTCATGGATTCTTTTTTCAGCCACGTCAAGTCTACTGATGACATCACTGATGACATTCTTCATTTCTGTTGCCATGCTTTTGATTTTTAGCATTTTCTTTTGATTCTTTGAGGTTCCATTTCCATTCTTATACAAGCCATCTATTCTTGCACGTTGTCTACTTCTGATTAGAGCCCTTTATAGATTAATCAGAGTTATTTTAAATTACCTGCCTGATAATTCTAGTAATTGTATCATATCTGATGACTGCTTTTATCCCCTCAGAGATGTCTTGTAACTTTTTTGTTGAAAGCATGTGTACTGTATTGGCAAACAGGAACTAAAGTAAATAAGCCTTTACAGAAGATTTATGTTCATCTGGCTATGCTCAGGGTCATGTTTAATGTTTGCTGTGGCAATAGGGGACAGAGCCGACACATTCCTCTAGTACTATTTTTGTCCCCAGGCTCCTAACTTTGGGCTTCCCTACATACTCTTCCTCAGAGGGAGTCTGTGTCTCACAGTTAGTTTTTTTCAGCTGTAATTCACTGTTATGATACTGGAAACCGATTGGAACTGTGGTAAAATGTGGTAAGAGGTAGCATCCTGTCAACTTCTGCTTAAATGTCAGTCTTCTAAGAGTCCAATGCCTCTGGCCTGTGACCGTTACAAGTGTTTCTTCTTGAATAGCATTTGCCTTACTTCCTTCAATAAGTTAGGAGGGCTACAGGGGTCTACAGGTGAATGTCTGACTCCCATGGATCTTGGGCAAGGTTCTCACAAAGTCTTTTTGTGAGAGAAGAGTCACCTTTTTATGGAGAAGGCTCTGGGTGTATTTTAAGATGATTACTCATCCACTCCTCGTGTCAGAGCCATATTGGCACCATTTTCAGATCTTCATTGTGAGAACTTGGTGGCATTCCTGTAGGTAAGGCTCATGAACGTGTGAGGGCTGAGGCCCACCCTGATACTGGAGCACACTAGTGCATACTCAGCCTTGAGTAATTTATCAGAATTACTATTTAAGTGTTACTGCTACAGAAGCTTCTGTTCTCGGTAAGCAGATATTGGCTGACACCCTGTGCATGCCCCCACTCTCCAAATTTCGGGGTAATGGTCTGTCTTGCAACCATAGGTCTATGATGAGAGATACTGAGCTTTTTAATTTGTGCAGTCATTTCCCTGTTTGGAAGGACAGAAGTGACAACTACCAAGATCTCTGTTAGAGTTAAGATTGGAAATTTCAACAACCACTTTTCATATTAATCTGGTGTCAAAATACCCACACACATACACACACACTCACGTGCACACACATATACATACGAGCACACACACACCATTCTTTCAGATCCCTATTCTCAAAAAAAGGGTAAGGGAAGAAAATACATGCATAGAGTCCCAAGATGCTAGTGGTTTGATAACAACTTAAGTATTACTTCAGTAGTGCAAACCTGGTATTTGGAGTTGGAAGATCTGGCCTTGAGACTTCTCAGGTATAATACATCATGTCTACCTTTAACTCCTCAATTCTTAATTCAGTCAAATGATAGGAAATTACTTTTTGGTCATAAGAAATGTGGGTGTTAATTATTATCATAACCCTATGTTGTATTTTCTTTCTAAAACAAAACGATGAGAGCGACAATGCTGGATAGATAGTTAAGAATGCAATCACTAATGAAAGATTTCAGAAAGTGAGGAGAATCAATATTCTCCTCTGTAGATGTCTTTACCACTATAGTTCAGTTTTTTTGTTTCCACTGCTTCTGTCTGTTACTCTTTCCAACTGTAACAGGCCAATTTTTAGGTTAAAAAAGTATGAGTTAAGATTTACATTTATATGTTTTTAATTTCTAGTTATAAAAATTTTCAAAGGTTACAAAAAATAGAGAAAAATAATCGACCACTATGTATTCATAACCCAATCTCAAAAATTATCAACATTTTTGCCAGTCTTGCCTCAGCTCTCCCTCCCACTTTTTTCCCTAGAATATTGTAGGGCAAATCCCAGACTACATACAATTATCTCAGTATGCATTTCTATTGGATAAGAAAGTCCATTCACTGGATCCAGTAACTGTTCTAACCCATTTTAGGGAGAAGTGAGCTCTTTTCCTGTCTAGGAGTCACAGCTGCATGGTTTTGCCACTAGTACTGCCATTTGGATGCCTAAGATGAGCAGAAGAGTATGTGTGAGTACTAAGCAATCAAGGGGGTGAACTGAGTTAGAAGTATTCCATGGATTCACTCATCTGTCCTTCTAACCTCCATCTACATAGTTAGAAAGGACCATAAGCTAAGAACGTTTCTCTTAGAATTCTAGAGGAGAATTAGTTTTGCAAATCTTTAAAAGGAACATGTCTAAGATGATGAAAGCAGAAATGAAGCTGAGGCCATTTTCCCGCACACTTTGGCTGTTTCAACTGCAAACAAAAACAAGGAAACGTGAGGTTTTCTACAGCAGTGCCTATAATGGCACTTTCCAATTTTCTGGGCATCAAGAGGCAACTGTGGCCACAGCAGCAGCAGATTGATTCTGGCTTCTGGAATACTTGACTGCAGCTACGGACTATGTTCGTAAACTCAGAGCTCCAGCAACAGCCTCACATCTATGCAGCTCTTACGTGGATCGCTTCCACACTCTCTGGAAGTCATTCCAGCTGGAACAGCCTAGTACCCATTCTTTATATCTTCAGTCAATTTATAAGCACCTAATTCCCTTGCATTAAATATCTTCCTGTTTAAAATATTTGTTTCTGTTTCTTGGACTAAATCTTGACATACAGTATTTGATACTATCTGTGGAACTGATACTAAATCTTCATGAACAAATACTTAACTTCATGATGCAATATGCTAATTTGTCTATTTCACCTGCCCTACTTAAAATCCCCTTAAGTTTACATTCACTTTAAAATAAAATCCATGCTAGTCTTTAAATTAAAAACTGATTGCAATGCTTTATATATATCTATTTCATGACCTCCAAATGCGTTGCAAGCTTTGGTGTAAAATACACTGCTTATGCCATAGTCTTATTAAGAGAGCTGAGAGTATATTGTACAAAATCACAACAGCACTTACTTATTTTTCTTTTATTCCATTCTAGCCTATGTAGTAGACAATCTGGAGTTTTTCCAACTACCATTTTATTAACCTCCACCTTAAGTGGGAGACCACTCTCAGGCAAGTCTTTTCGTAGCTAAGAAATAGTTTTAAGAAACAGACAAAAATCGAAAACAGAGAAGAGGAAAAGACTGGTATGACTGACATTCAGGATTAGGGAAAAACTACTCTTAACTTATAAGAATGCAAGTTTTTCATAAAATCATTTTCTGAAAGCTTTCATTGACCAGAGTTGATTTTTTTTTATTAAAACATACCTCCAGAAACCATATGCAATGTTTGATTTTTTTCCCTCCATCTACTCATTAGTCAAACAGAAATAAATCTAATGGGGACCAAAGGAACTTTTAAAAACTAAGCATCCTTAAATCTTGTTATATGAATAGTGAACTATATTCAGTTTTTAGTTCTTGATTCCAAAACCAATAAAATCACAGCAAAATGTTAAATGAATCCACAGATCTCAGAGGATAACAGATCATAAAACTCCCACAGATTTGGCAAGGTGACAGTCACTGACAGAAGGAGAAAAGATATATAAATATAAGCTAAAGTTTCACATTTTTCTATTCTAAAAAAATTGAGCTTTATAAAAAAAGTAGAGTTCTTAAATATAAAGTATTTTTTTCTACTTTAACAAATAGATAACATTAATGAGCACTATACTTATGCATTATATATTCTCCCTTTGAGAGGAAAAAATGCTTTGAATTCATTTGTATCATAAAGCTCAGTCATCTTAAACTTTGATTTTAATGTTTTGATTTTTTTAATGTTTACTTATTTTGACAGAGAGGGGCTAGGGGAGGGGCAGCGAGAGAGGGAGACACAGAATCCAAAGCAGGCTCCAGACTCTGAGCTGTCAGCACAGAACCTGACGCCAGGCTTGAACTCATGAACCATGAGATCCTGACCTGACTCGAAGTCAGATGCTTAACCAACTGAGCCACCCAGGCATCCCTAGAATAGAAGATGTTGCAAATTGTATCTTTAAATTTTTTTTTAATGTTTATTTATTTTTGAAGGAGAGAGAGACAGAGGATGAGTGGGGAAGGGGAAGAGAGAGGGAGGACAGGGAGACACAGAATCAGAAGCAGGCTCCAGGCTCTGAGCTGTCAGCACATGAGAGCCCAAGCTCAACGCGGTGCTCAAGCTCACAATCCGTGAGATCATGACCTGAGCTGAAGTTGGATGCCCACCCAACTAAGCCACCCAGGTGCCCCTCTTTTTAAGTTTTACTGTGCTTGTTGCTGCTATACAGACATACAACTAATTTGTATTTTAATTCCAGACACCATAAATCTTGCTAAGTAGCAATACATCCACCAAAAGATGTACACAAATACATAAAGACAGCTTTATAAAATTTTACTGAGACATGCAAGAAGGCATAGATAAATGAAGAGATACACCATTAGAGTCAATTTTCCCCAGAATATTCTATGGGTTTAATGTAATCACAATCTAAGATTACAAAAGGGTCTGTGTAGAAATTGACCAGCTAATTCTAAAATTATATGGAAATGCAAAAGGCCAAGAGTAAACAAGGCAACCTGGAAGAAGAACAAAGTGTGAGAACTCCATCAGATATGAAGAGTTATTACAAATAAACAGAAATTAAGACAGCAAAATGTTGCTACAGCAGTGCAGAAACAAAAGACAATGGGGACAGACTACAGAGCATAGGAACAGACCCATAATATGTGAAAGAGTTGACTTCGGACAAAAGTAGCACTTCATGAAAGTAGAGAAAGGACAGTCATTTCAAAAAATAATGTTGGGACAATTGGATATCCATATGGAAAAAATTAAATTAAGTCCTTCCCTCACACTATCCAGGAAAAAAAAAAAACAAACTTGAGATGAAATTTTCAGGCCTTATGTGAAAGAGAAAACTGTCAAGTTTTTAGACTATAAGATAATATCTTCATGATCTTAGGGGAAAGAAATTTTTCTTAAATAGTTTTCTAACATCATTATTTCCATAAAGGGAACAACTGATAAACTTGACTAAATTAAAAACAATAAACTGTTATTCAATGAACACATAATAAGGAAAAGACATGCTATAGAGTGAGACATGATATTATAACCCATGTAAGCAACAAAGGGATTCCAGTCAAGCTCTATGCAGAAATTATAGCAATCGAAAAGACAAGACAGCCCTGTAGTACGAAAAAAAAAGAATATAGGATTTGGACGTGTACTTAAAATAGGCAAAAGTAAGGAGCAAGTATTAAAATATAACTTTATTTTAAAAGGAACAAAGTACAAAAACAAACAACTAAAATTAAACAAAGTGCTTATCATTAAACCAGGGGTCATGGTGGCCTTCCAAAGTTAAGAGGCACCTGAGTGGCTTAGTCGGTTAAGTGTCCGACTTTGACTCAGGTCATGATCTCACAGTCTGTGGGGCTCTGTGCTGACAGCTCAGCGCCTGGAGCCTGTTTTGGATTCTTTGTCTCCCTCTCTCTCTCTGCCCCTCCCCTACTCGTGCTATGCCTCTCTCTCTCAAAAAATAAACATTAAAAAAATTTTAAAAAACAAAGTTAAAATGACTTTTCATGTGGCTTCATGGGTGTCTATTTTATAATTTATTCATACCTATACATATTACACACTGTTTTATACACTTTGGTGTGTGCATTATATTTTGTAATAAAAGCAGATTTTCTTAAGTGTACTAAAAGAACAGACCAGATGGTAACAATGTTCCAGATAACCCAGACTATATTCACCAAAACAGATTCTCCTTAAATTGTAACTTCTGGATTCAGATTGTCCCCATTTCGTTGTTCTAGAAACAGACTAACCATTGTAGGTCACATATTACTTTCTCCAGAGAAGGCTACATGGACAAGATATCATGTTGTCTGGGTCTTAAGGGATAAGATTTGGATGTGGGTAGATTGAGGAAGGGGTCCAATTAGTCCCACTAATCCCAGTCAGTTTAATGAGTAAATCTTCCTGAGTGAGCTTGCTTTCTTGGATCTCACTTTCCTGATTCAATTTAACACACACACACACACACACACACACACACACACACACACACAAAGGATTATGCCTGAGTAAAAATGCCAAGTATCAAGTTTTTTCCCTTGGTGATAAGCTTTCACAACTTGCATATTAGAGAAGAATTCCACAGATCTGCCCTATTAACTCTCACTGTGATCTTAAGCAACCAGGAGCATACTGAGGAAACCTTTGGTCGGCTGTGCAGAAAAATTGACAAATTGCATCTTTGAGTCAACCAGTGTAAATAGGGAAACTAAATCACATCAGGAACCAAGAAATTCTGGGCCTCAATTAACCCTAAATTTCAAATAGGAACAGTAACTTCCATGCTACATATTATGAAACTCGTATGTCACAACTGTTCCCAATGTGATCTGAAGAAGATACTGTAGAGAGGGACCTTACTTCTCCACCCAAACAGGTTACAGGAAAACTAAGAGGAGACAGGAATGAAATCTGGCTTGAGCTTTTACCAGCGGGGTGACTGATCAAGGATGACGTAGACCAATCCAGTTCAAATCATTCTAGGTTCTTTTCCCAGTTCTGATTATACATAAACTAGAACTTCCACAACTATATACTATCTAGGCTTCAATGCTCTCTTAATTCTGCTTTTATAACAAACCTAATAAATAATTATAAGTAAGATAAATTAAAAACCATCACTTTATGAAAGGATTCAAAATAAGGTTTCTTTAAATAGTTTTCCCAGAGCTAAAGTGTTAAAGCTAACAATATATAAGTTCCTAAAAAGGCAACATTATATTCCATTACACTTACAACTATCTCCCACGGCTGATTAAAGAATAAAAAGGAAGAAGTTTCTATAAAACAAAATTGAAGATGAAGTTTCATGACTCCAGTTTTAGATGTCCACACACAGGGAAACTTGAAGCTGGACACTCCATAGCGACATACAGGTTTCTGAACTACCTGGGCAGCAGCCGCTATTTAACTGAGGGCCCAAGCCACCTCCCCACACAAGCCACCCAGTCCCCGCAGCCAGAACCCCCTGCATGGGCCTCCGGCCCAGACCCTGCCCTAAACCACCCCCCACCAAGTCCGTAACTAAAGATCTAAACCCTGGGGGAGGAGGGTGTCCCCAGGACGCCGTTCCAGTCCTTAACCCCCTGGCGCCTATGCCATTCTAGTCGTTAAATATTTAGAAAATCACTCTTGGGTAAGCTAGAAGTAAATCTTTTTCTCATTCTAAAGTAAAAGCAAGCGGTTAAGGGGGTCGGACTTACCACATTTTGCTACTCTGTTGGTCGAATTGGTCTGATTACTGGAAGCTTTAAGTAAGTAGACAGCCAGAGTCACTCTTTGCCCTCTGGGGGTCACGTCTCTCTCCTTTGTTGTCTTCATACAGCCAGAAGTTGAAAACTAACACTTGGACAAGAAAACTCTGCTAGACTGAGTACAAAGCATTTCCCTCTAAGAAATCAGAAGGCTAAAATATACATCAGTCTCATTCCCTAATCTCAAACTGTACCATCCCACACCCCAAAAAAGCTTACAAAAATGGCTTTCCCAAAACATGTTAAAATACAGTTTTCCTTTGTTAAAATACACAGTTTTCCTTTCACCAC